CATATCCCAAAAATTCTGATTTTTTTCCTGATATTTCATTTAATGCTAGTCTCATATAGGGGTGCGTGACACCCGGGTGCTCCAATGCATTCCCCACAAAGGCACACAACCTTATCCCTGTCAATCGAAGGCTCGTCCCACATTGATAAATATGACTTGGCAGTGGGACCAGCAAGAGCAGCGTTCCAAACATCCCCTTGTTCTTTATTTGGAGGATCGATGTCCCTCCATCCAACATTGCTTGGTTGATTGCCACAAGGACGCAGGGCTGAGATTCCTGGTCCTGGAATTTTGGAATTTTGCCCGCAACTTGCAGCTAGCTGCGTCCCTGTCCTTCCTAGTGAATCACCTTCGCCCGTTGTTTGGGGCACAGGACAAAAACACCCAGCTAATCATGGATTCATAGGGAGGGAGGGGGTCATAATCCTGGATAGCTTTCACCGTTAGCGGCAGCTAGTTGGTTAATCATGCAGGCTAACACGAGGTTAGTAGAGTCCAAAATGGACCTTTCCTCTGTTTTACCATCTCCGTCTGGCAAACAAGATGTGGCTTCATAGTACTCCCTTCATTTTAAAATATAGTGCGTTCATATTTTTTGAGGTCCAATTTTAACCATAAGTTTAACCAACGAGACCGACTGCAGCGGGAGAAAAAATTATATAATTGAAAACTTCTTTTGAATTCGAATTCATTGATATAACTTTTGCTCCCGCCGCATTCGGTCTCGTTGGTTAAATTTATGGTCAAAGCTGAAGCACGGAAATAGAGGAAACACTATATTTTAGACTGGAGGGAGTAGTTAATTGCAGAATGCTCCCACTATGAAACCTTTGATTTTCATTCTGAAAAAAAAAACTTCCCTTTTCCGAAAAATGACATTGCAATAATTCCTCCCTTTGGGAAAGTGGGGGCGATTTGGGGGTGTGTTCGTAGATCAGCAGAGTGTGAGTATCCTCACTACTTAGTGGACTAAGAACACCAATTTTTAGGAGTATCAGCTAGCTGGTTAATCACGCTGGCCAACACGCGGTTAAGAGCTCACTAGATTCTAGAATAGATCATTTTCTCCGCTTTATTACCTTCATCTCACAACTTTAACTATAAATTTAACCAACGGGATCGACTGCAGCGGGAGAAAAAATATATATAATTGAAACCTTCTTCTTTTGAATACGAATTCGCTGATATAACTTTTGCTCCCGCCGCATTCGGTCTCGTTGGTTAAATTTATGGTCAAAGCTGAAGCACGGAAATAGAGGAAACACTATATTTTAGACCGGAGGGAGTAGTTAATTGCAGAATGCTCCCACTATAAAACCTTTGATTTTCATTCTGAAAAAAAAACCTTCCATTTTCCGAAAAATGACATTGCAATATTTCATCCCTTTGGGAAAGTGGGGGCGATTTGGGGGTGTGTTCGTAGATCAGCAGAGTGTGAGTATCCTCGCTACTACTTAGTGGACTAAGAACACCAATTTTTAGGAGTATCAGCTAGCTGGTTAATCACGCTGGCCAACACGCGGTTAAGAGCTCACTAGATTCTAGAATAGATCATTTTCTCCGCTTTATTACCTTCATCTCACAACTTTAACTATAAAGTTAACCAACGGGATCGACTGCAGCGGGAGAAAAAAAATATATAATTGAAACCTTCTTCTTTTGAATACGAATTCGCTGATATAACTTTTGCTCCCGCCGCATTCGGTCTCGTTGGTTAAATTTATGGTCAAAGCTGAAGCACGGAAATAGAGGAAACACTATATTTTAGACCGGAGGGAGTAGTTAATTGCAGAATGCTCCCACTATAAAACCTTTGATTTTCATTCTGAAAAAAAAAACCTTCCATTTTCCGAAAAATGACATTGCAATATTTCATCCCTTTGGGAAAGTGGGGGCGATTTGGGGGTGTGTTCGTAGATCAGCAGAGTGTGAGTATCCTCGCTACTACTTAGTGGACTAAGAACACCAATTTTTAGGAGTATCAGCTAGCTGGTTAATCACGCTGGCCAACACGCGGTTAAGAGCTCACTAGATTCTAGAATAGATCATTTTCTCCGCTTTATTACCTTCATCTCACAACTTTAACTATAAATTTAACCAACGGGATCGACTGCAGCGGGAGAAAAAATATATATAATTGAAACCTTCTTCTTTTGAATACGAATTCGCTGATATAACTTTTGCTCCCGCCGCATTCGGTCTCGTTGGTTAAATTTATGGTCAAAGCTGAAGCACGGAAATAGAGGAAACACTATATTTTAGACCGGAGGGAGTAGTTAATTGCAGAATGCTCCCACTATAAAACCTTTGATTTTCATTCTGAAAAAAAAACCTTCCATTTTCCGAAAAATGACATTGCAATATTTCATCCCTTTGGGAAAGTGGGGGCGATTTGGGGGTGTGTTCGTAGGATCAGCAGAGTGTGAGTATCCTCGCTACTACTTAGTGGACTAAGAACACCAATTTTTAGGAGTATCAGCTAGCTGGTTAATCACGCTGGCCAACACGCGGTTAAGAGCTCACTAGATTCTAGAATAGATCATTTTCTCCGCTTTATTACCTTCATCTCACAACTTTAACTATAAATTTAACCAACGGGATCGACTGCAGCGGGAGAAAAAATATATATAATTGAAACCTTCTTCTTTTGAATACGAATTCGCTGATATAACTTTTGCTCCCGCCGCATTCGGTCTCGTTGGTTAAATTTATGGTCAAAGCTGAAGCACGGAAATAGAGGAAACACTATATTTTAGACCGGAGGGAGTAGTTAATTGCAGAATGCTCCCACTATAAAACCTTTGATTTTCATTCTGAAAAAAAAACCTTCCATTTTCCGAAAAATGACATTGCAATATTTCATCCCTTTGGGAAAGTGGGGGCGATTTGGGGGTGTGTTCGTAGGATCAGCAGAGTGTGAGTATCCTCACTACTACTTAGTGGACTAAGAACACCAATTTTTAGGAGTATCAGCTAGCTGGTTAATCACGCTGGCCAACACGCGGTTAAGAGCTCACTAGATTCTAGAATAGATCATTTTCTCCGCTTTATTACCTTCATCTCACAACTTTAACTATAAATTTAACCAACGGGATCGACTGCAGCGGGAGAAAAAAATATATAATTGAAACCTTCTTCTTTTGAATACGAATTCGCTGATATAACTTTTGCTCCCGCCGCATTCGGTCTCGTTGGTTAAATTTATGGTCAAAGCTGAAGCACGGAAATAGAGGAAACACTATATTTTAGACCGGAGGGAGTAGTTAATTGCAGAATGCTCCCACTATAAAACCTTTGATTTTCATTCTGAAAAAAAAAACCTTCCATTTTCCGAAAAATGACATTGCAATATTTCATCCCTTTGGGAAAGTGGGGGCGATTTGGGGGTGTGTTCGTAGATCA